GTAGTCCTTTTGGGGTTTTTTAGCTTTAAAGAAAAGTTGACTCAGCAAATATTTCCTCCACTAGCATTTCAACCACATGTTCCAGCAGAAGCCAGCACACATCTGGCACGCTGCAGTGTCATTGCCAGAAAGATCACAGCTTCGCTGAGCAACGGAAATGGAGGAACAGGGACCAGCAGTCCAGGCACCGAGGACTCCTGGAACACATACGTGGCAAAGGAGGATCACAGAAAGGACCCGCGTGAGCCATGGACACCCCACACTCCACAGGTCTTTCCCCAGCCCCCTCTCCAAACAGCATCCACAGGCAAAGGGAGACACTGCCCCGCAACCTGCAAAACTTATCACTAGCCCGTAAAACCTAGACATCAAACTGTACGTTTCGGCCACACTGCTGGCGTCTGAGGTTTTTTTACAGTGCCCATGAGCCAGACGGCAGCACGTTCCTCCCACTGCTGTAGGACACGGTCCTGCTGAGCAGGAGAAATGAAGGAGAGTACATGCTTGGAGCAGCACAGAAACTGGAGAAACTGGAGAGGGGAGCGTGCCGGCAGGAAAAACCTAGACATCAAACTGTACGTTTCGGCCACACTGCTGGCGTCTGAGGTTTTTTTACAGTGCCCATGAGCCAGACGGCAGCACGTTCCTCCCACTGCTGTAGGACACGGTCCTGCTGAGCAGGAGAAATGAAGGAGAGTACATGCTTGGAGCAGCACAGAAACTGGAGAAACTGGAGAGGGGAGCGTGCCGGCAGGAAAGGCAGTGGACAGCCCTCACGGGCAGGCCTGGCCAACCCCGCTGCCGGGGGCAGCACCTCATGGGCAGGCCTGCACACCCCAGCTGCCGGTGGCAGCACACTGGCAGGCAGGTCCACAGGGCCCTGTGGCTCCAAACCAGAGTCCAAGCAAAGCATGTACTCCCCCTCCAGAAACAGCCTTCCCAGGAGGCTGCCAAGGCAATCAGCAATTACAGTGCTAATCAGCTAAATAAGTGCTGCTTTTCCTGCTTATCAGCTGTAAATTGGACATTACTTGCAGCCTGGCAGCAGGGCTTAGCCACAGCTCCAGACACACAAAGAGCAGAAGCACTATAAATACCTTTCCTTCAGGGGCGGTATCCTCCCCAGGTGCTAGACTAAGATCGCTCTTGATTTTGCAGCTGAAACTGCAAAAGAAACTGTAAAATTGTGCACAGTGACACAGAAGGGACTACAAGCAGGTACTGGCAACGTGCAGGACCCTGTCTGCAGAGTTCCCAACCGAAGGGGGCGAGAAACAAGGTGGCATGGCGTGGGGCAGACACGGCACCCTTCAAAACCAGGCTGGAAACCCGCTCACAGCCCTTGTGGCTCTCACACCACAGCCAAAACCCCGGGCTCCTCAGGCAAGGAAAATGGCGCTAGGAGGCCAGCAGGGAGAAACACCATGGAGCAGAGTGAGGGGAGGCGGGTTTGGGCCATGCGGCTGGAGTTGAACACTGAAAAGCAGCTGCCAGGAAAATCAACCGGCCGGCCCCAAGCCTCTGTGCCACCGATGAGGACGGCAGAGCTGGGAACAGGCAGGGAGGCTGGCTCACACCCTGCACAGCATAGAGGGTGGCACGGGGGCGGGGGGCGGCTCATCCGGATGTGCTCAGCAAGGGACAAAACCCCCTCAGCGGTTGGCAGGCCAATTTCTAGGGGTGGGAGTCCACTGCATGCCCGCTGTTTTTTCTCCGAGTTTTGATCTGCTCAGATTTCATGGGAAAACCACCCACTGCTGCACGCAAACAGCATTCCTGGTGTCAGCCCTCGCCACGGGGCCCGGAGAGGCTGCGAGACGGGGCCGAGCCCAGCGAGAGGGGGGCTCCAGGAGCCACCTCCCCGGAGCGCCGCTGCTCCGGGAGCGCCTGTTCGCCGCCTCCCAGACGGCAAGTATCCGGCGCATTTGCATC